CCCATAATCTATAGGCAATGCGGCTCACGAGTAAGGCATACCAAGCAATTGCTTTAGGCCCCTGAAGTTTAGGGGCCCCATTTTTTACTGGTAATACTTTTTAAGAATTAATATTTAAAAAAAATTAATATTTTGAAGTAGAAAAACTATAATATTTTAATAGAAAAAAAACTTTGATTTGTTACTGATGTCAAGCATAGAGATTTGAATAATCTGAAACGTGAAAAGTATCTATAATTTTTATTTAGTGAAATTTTTTGAGATCACTAGGTGAAAAGAATCTGAGAAAAGTCACTCTGATGGATAATTTAGACTTATTCTTCGACTTAAAAGTATTCAAGGAAATACTATAAGTAGAAATAATCCCTAATCGATATACTCAATCAACTAACAAGACTTCAAAAAGTAAGACTTGATTCTTTTTTAAATATGTATATTCCTTATCGAATAATGTTCCTATATCAATTGCATTTGCGGGAAGAAGTTTATTAAATTTTAATGTAATACAATCTTACCTAGGATCAACAATGTCTCAGGAGACATTAAAATGTATTAGCTATATTATTAAGCGAAAAAGAATATTATTACAATAACTCAATTATAAATAAAATATTAATAATTTTGGGTCTTAAAAAAGTAAGGAAAATAGACTTAAATAAAAAATATATAAGATTATTTTCTTCTTTTTTTTTTACAAAAAAATAAAATAAAAAATAAAACCCCTCGTCAAGATTTAGCTTTAAGCCACCAATAATATTGAGTTCCTTTATCTATAGGTCACACAAAGATAATTTTAATGTTTCTCCGAATTCCCTTCAAATTAAATCAAGAAACTAACTACGGGATCTCAATTTTGTTTCATGTGTGATGATACTTTATTCTTGATGATTATTATCACAATAAGTTATCAGAAAGGAAAAGGAAGACATTTGACCACAAAAGTTTTAGGTTTGATTATTGTTACACTTGCTATTATCATGACATGCATGTGGAGAGAAATAATTGTTTTATCTGCCCTAGGTCTTATCATCTTATCTCTGGTAAATAACACCTAGAGAAAACATTTAACAGGGAATATCTTGGTGTTTGTAATTTAATAATTAAACAAAACAATATACTAATCTTGTTTCATTTCTAAAGAAAAAACATATTTGGAAAGTGCATGGAAAAAGGAGCTCATGTGTTACCATAAGGACTTTCACATTGAGCCAAAATACCCCAACATAAATAAAACTTCTTTTTTCAACTTCTAATTGTAATATAAGCTTGCCAAAGCTTGTAAAGAAAGTTGAGACTATAGCTAAGTAGAAATTACTACATAATAATTTCTTTCTTTTTATTTTCCTTTGAAAGTTCCTTGACCATGATTATAGGTGGAGCTAGAGTATAACTTACGTATTCGGTCGAATTCAGTAATTTTAGTTCAAATTATATATTTATTGTAAGAAAATTATTGGATATATATCCCTATGTCTCAATTTATGTAATATGTTCCATTTTTCGAGATTCAAATTTCTTAATTATGATGAGATATTTGCACATAATTTTCAAATTTATTTTGAAACATAATATATATATATATATATATATATAAATATTTGAAAACTAAGTAATAAAGTACTATAAGTTACAATAATTAATGATCGAAACATTTAAAAAGCATATGAAAAATTGCGGTCAAAGAACACTTCGTTTGACTCTCAAAAGTCGAATACCTTCATATAAGTTGGGACACAGAGAGTATAATTTAGTATTAATTTAACATCTAATAACTTAAAAGTACTTAAATTTGGAATACATAAAATTAAAATTCTAATTCCGTCTCTGATCATTGTTCTTTGATGCGTCTTAGCCCAAAGACAAATAATTTTAAACAATAACCATTTTAAAGAATCCTCTAACTACAAAATATNATATATTTGAAATGACCAATGGAATAATCACAAGTTAGAGTCAAAATCAATGGATTCAATTACACTTACAGAATTGACCATATAAATCCACCTTTGACCTAAACTTTGTAGTAACAAACATGGTACAACTAATGAAAATTAGACAAACTCTGGTTTTTTACTGAAATAGAACTTGCAATTGTCAGCTTCATGTTTACAATATTTTCTCCTTTTATCACATTCTCAGGGATGTTCAGTTTCTTAAATTTTAGCAGAATAAAATGAAGAAAAAGTTATTTAAGTTTTTTGAGCCCCCAAATGGAATTGCATTTAAGCCACATTAACTGCAGCTTTATCTCTTTCTTTCCTTTTGGTTCCCTTCCCACTGCTTACACCTACAGACAGACACAGTCTGCACAAACTTACACCCCTATTTTTTTTTTTAATAATAGTACTAGCATTTTACTAGTATAGATATATATATATATTTATATTTTTTTCATCTTATTTTATCTCTCTTCTATATTATATTATTATCTTTTATTTTAATTTTATTTTTTAATTTTCATTAAATAAATTTAATTTTTTATTTTTATTAATTTGTAATTTCTATTAAAATAATTCCATAAAATTTTAAATAATATAATTTGTATGCAATTATTATAGATTAACTAATAATTCAAATAAAAGTGAAATCATTGCGATACAAGATTAATTAAATACATATTACATAACGAAAAAAATTCATTCGAAATACTACATAAATATTCAACTTCAACCTCTAGTATTCTTTCATAAATGATCTATTAATGAATTACAAAGTACAAAATGAGCATCTTTGTCCTTAATTCTTCTATGTAGAGCTAAAAATTCTTGAAATCGTTGATTTTCATCTACTGCCATTTCTACTGTTGGAGTTGGACCTTCCAAATCACCTTTCAATTTTAGCAACATCTAATATTTTATATTTGCACCATTCATTTTTTAAGATAATTATATATTTTTTGTACAATTATAACTTATAATAAATTAACTTACAATGTTACATAAAAATAATAAATGCACGAAAATTAATTTATCAAAATTATACACCAAAGTTAAGATGTAAAATTAATATTATAAAGACATTACGTAAACATAATTAGGTATATATAAAGAGATAAATTAAAAGATTAAATAATAAAATAATAAAAAAAATTGATCAATAGCAATGAGGGAGATGAATAGTGTATCCCCTATATTTGAGAGAACACTATTCATCCCCCATTTTGGGGACAAAAATGGGGGAGGGTTGGAGCTAAATTACCCCCAAAAATTACTCCCATTACGGAAAATGGGGGTAAGGTTGGAGATGGCCTAAGACTTCTGAAATTTATAATCTTAAATATATTATAATATTTATATAGTTATAAAACTTGTCACTAAGGATAAAGTAAGAAGTTAAACGATTTTCTAATTTAGAAAAATTATAATTTTGAACAGATGCAAATTCAATTTTGAAGTAGTTTATGATTCCTACAACGTCTTCAAGTAAATATACAATATGTAACTGGTTTCACAATCAAATATTTATGATATTTACAACTTGTTTGGATGGTTGTTACCTATCGTATCGTATTGTTACTTTAAATAAAATATTTGTTTTGATGTTACTTAAATTTTATTGTATTGTATCATTATATCTGTCGCTATGTAATGACGAAAAATGCCACTTTATGTAATGACCAATTTGGTGTGGTCGCGACGTTACCTTATTTTTTCTCTCGTCCTTCATTATTAATATATAATCTTATTTTATCCTTTTCCATGTCTTTTTATAATTTTTTATAATGTTGCAAGTTTATTCTTCATATTGTTGATGCGTGATATCATAAAACGATAGAAAATGATACAGTTTATACAAATATTGTATTCATCAAACAATATGGTACCATATAACACAATACGATACAATATATTTATGAAACAATATGTAACAACTATCCAAACAAGCTGTTAGTGGTTTTTTTAATATACGTACAGGGCATGTGTAAAAGCTATTGGGTTCACGGGAACCCACACCAACTAAGCTGGATCCACCCCTGATTTTGAACCCATAAGTTATAAATTCTGGCTCCGGCTCTGAGCCTAGGCCATGACCTTATTAATCGCCTATTAACTCTAGTCTGTGTGTATGCTATTCCCTCAGTTTTAATTTATGTGTCTTAATTTGACTGAGCTAAAGTTTTAAAAAGTAAAGAAGACTTTTAAATCTTGTCGTCTAAAACTAATCTAATGTATCAAAATATTCTTGATTCTTGTGGTCTTAATAAATATACAATATGGAAAATTGGAGTTAAAGAGTTACTAAATAGTAAATATAGGTTAGACATTTTTTTTAAAAAAAATAGACTAAAAAAAATAAGACACTTAAATTGAAACGAAACTAATAATATATAAACTTCATAACACTACTAGAACTTGTTTGGTACAAGAGATAAGGGATAATTAATCCCGAAAATAAATTTGAGATGAGTTTATCCCATGTTTGATTAGGATAAAATCGTGGTATAACTAACCCCGAGATTAGTTATCCCGGGATTGTAGTGTTCTTTTATCCTCATGGAAATGTGAGATAACTATTCTCCAGATAACTAATCCCCGGATAATTAATCATGGGATAAGTTATTTCCCAACCAAACACCCCCTAATTTATACTCCCTCCAGTCCACAATAAGTAACCAATTTGCTTTTTTATTTTGGACAAAAATAAGTGTCCGTTTATATAATCAACAAAAAAGTTAATTTATTTTTCCAAAATTACCTTTATGTACGTATTCCTAAAACGTCATTTACTCCTCACACTTGAGAAGAGAAGTATCCCTAAAACGTCATTTACTCCTCACACTTGAGAAGAGAAGTAAGTGCTACTATAACTATGGTACAACATTTAATAAATAGTAGTTTAGTCACACTAATTAATTTTTATCTAGAATTTAATATTTTCTTAATGGGTGTGCCCAAAGTAAATTGATCATTTATTACGGACAAGAGGGAGTATAAGTTAAAATCTTTATAAAATATTATACTTTGCTTTTTCTCTCAACTGTCTTGTCTGAGTGTCTTTTATCTGTAAGTGCTCTAAACTGAGCTTAGCTAAAGGACTTTCCTTTTCCTTTTCCTTTTCCATTTCTTTTCTTTTTCATCACTTACTTTAATTTGCAGGCTTTTTTCAACTATCTCACTGATCTCTTCCTGCAAAAGATATACTTATAAAACTGTCCACAAAACTCTTTACAACAAAAAAACTTCTTTTTTTATGCTATCAAAAAACCAAACTTAATATCAAAGCCAAGAAAAAAACTGTCCCAAAAATGGACTTCAACATGAAGCAATGGAAAAACCAACAACAACAACAGCAGAATGAGTCAGAAGAAGAAATACAAACACAAATACCTTCTGCTAAATTACCAAGACTTGTTCTTGATCTTGACTCTTCTTTTTCACATTCTGCTTCTGATTCTGCTCTTCCTTTATTTATATCTGAACCTACTAAATTGTCAGCATATTCTCTTTCTTCAGATTCAACTTTCACTCCCACCAAATTTACAAGTAAGTAAAATACTAACAACCCCTTTAATTTGTCCATTTTTTTTTTCCTAAACTCATTTTCAAGAATATTATTTAGTTATACATTGGAATAATTTTTTGAATTTTTTTCGTTTCATGTTACTTTTTCAAGTGAAAATTTATTACCCCTCATTTTTTTAAGTGAAATTTATGTATAAACATAATTTTCTACTAAAATCTAAATATTATTTTTTAAAGAAAATTACATTTTTTTTTTATGTCCAAACGCCTACAAAGGACCTGTTTGTCCATAGATGTTTTTCTTTTTTTAAGAACCATGTTTGTCCATGAAATTTTTGGAGATTTTTCAAAAACCAATAAATATTTTTTCAATTTTTTTTCCCACTCACATAAGTGCTTATATTTTGTCAGGTGAAATGCAGGTCCAAATACAGTATCAAATACCTTTTTTTTAACTTTAACTCTAAAATATTTCTGTAGTACTTTTTCAGATTTTTTTTTTAATGTCCAAACGCCTATTAATGCTCCTTTATTTCTGTTTTTTTTTGTGCAAGTTAAAAGTCTTGAATATTTTTATTGTTAAGGTAATATATCTATAATATTTTTTTTATTTGCTTGATTCTTAGGAATGGGAAGTAGTTATTTCAGTTTGGCACAGTGGCAAGAACTTGAATTGCAGGCTTTGATTTACAGACATATGTTAGCTGGTGCACCTGTTCCTCTTGAATTACTTCATCTTGTTAAGAAAAGTCTCATTAATTCTTCTCCTTATAATTACTTGCCTCAATCTTTTCAACAATATCACCACTATCAACAAGCTTGTAAGTAATTATCTCCCTTTTTCTTTTCAATTTAATGTCAAAATAGACTATACTACTACATACTAATTATTCATATATAGTTTGTATGTAGAAAGATCTGTATGTTGATGTTTTCCCTATTTTCTTGATTATTATTATTATTAGTAGTAGTAGTAAACTTTGTCCTCTTTCTTGTGCCGACGGTTTGTCGGAAACAACTTCTCCACTCCTTCGGAATAGGGGTAAGTTCTCCGTACACATTACCCTCCCTAGACCTCACTTGGGGGATTTCACCGGGTTGTTGTTGTTGTTGTTGTTGTTATGACTGGGAGCCTCGGCGTGACTAGTAAAGTTGATACCATGGAGGTCAGGGATTCGAACTGTGAAATAGTCTCTTGCAGTGGAAAGTAAGGCTGCGTATGATAGACCTGGTTTGGCTCTTCCTTGCACCCCGCGTATAGCCGGAGTTTAATGCATCAGGCGGCCCTTTTTAAAAACTTTGAGAAATGAGTAATGCATGATGAATTTTTTTTTGTTGGTCAATATTTCACAGTCAATGAGCTCAATTGCTCTGCAATATTTTTATATACACCATCTCTGGGTATGCTGTTGTTGTTGTTGTTGTTATATACACCATTAGCTTAAGTTGCCTGTAATAACATACAACTGTTTATAACAAATACAGTCAGACCTCTTTATAACATCCTTATATAATAGCCATTCACTATAAAAATTAATTTTTTTTCGAACCGACTTTCATGTTATGTTATAATATATGTACTCTATAACAACACTTTATCATAACAACCAAAAAATATCGAATAAATAGGATTGTTATAGAAAGATTTGAGTGTACGGTCTAGAAAACTTCCTCTGTAGGTTACTAACAAATATTTTTTTTTATATGAAGTGGTACAATCAGGATATTGGGGAAGAACAGGCATGGATCCAGAGCCAGGGAGATGTAGGAGAACTGATGGGAAGAAATGGAGATGTTCGAGAGATGTTGTTAGTGGCCATAAATACTGTGAACGCCACGTGCACCGTGGCCGCAACCGTTCAAGAAAGCCTGTGGAAATCCCCACAACCGCCGCCCCATCTGGCGGTGTTAACACCGCCAACAATGACGGCGGTGAAGTCCTTAAAGTCAATAGTGGCCATGCTAGTGGTGCACCTCATTTTACTCTATCTGGAACTTCACCTTCCATTGATGTTCTTCACCTCAATCAAAGGTATACACTTTTTACCATTGAATTTAAGTTATATGCACACGTATAATATTTTTACACATGAAGTTAAGTTGTAATAACATGTAATTATTGCTTATAATAAACATTATTGGAGAAAAAGTAAACAATTTGCTAATACATGTTAATTATACGAATAGTGTTGGAAGATTCGGATTGTCGGTATATATAACTTGAATTTTTTGAATATGTTGTGATTGTTACCTTGTGTTATTTCTTTGGAATTTTGTGCTTTTTTTTTTTCAATTTTATTAAGCAAAAGTACGATTACAGCATTGAACTCAACTTGTTTTGTAAAGGGTCAGGGTCCGTTTGGCCATAATTTTTTTTTTTCCGGAAATATATTGCTTTTTTTTTTCCTTCAAAATCAGTGTTTGGCCATGAAATTTTGAACTTCACTTTGAAGTTGAATTTCGAAATTTACCGAAAATTTGAAAAGTTCCAAAAAGCCGTTTTTCAAAATTTTCACTTCAAATTTCTCATAAAAATTCAAACACAGCTCGAAGATGTATTCATGTCCAAACACAACTCTAATTTTCAAATACCATTTTTATTTAAATTTTTTTTCATTTTTTCCGGAAATGTTACAATTCTTGTGTCCAAACGCCCACTAAATATCTATATTATTCCTTTCTTCCCCATCCTCTCCTTTTTCCCTACCACCTCTAAAGAAACATCTCATATTTACAATGGTTGATTTGATACTTGTCTCCTAAAAGGAAGAATATATAAATTAATACCTTGATCAAATGACTTTATCTACTTTAAATTCCATTATCACATTTTCCTATTGTTTCTTTCTAACTCATGGAGGGGTCCATTTACTGAATTTTTCTTGGATTTTTAGAATCTCATTTAAGATTGTTTGGTCCACTTTCAGTTTCATATTGGACCCCAAACCCCACCTTCTTGATTTTTTTCTGAAGTTTGCTTTGGCACAGGACTACTTTTTTGGTTGTGCATATTGAGTAGGACTCACCCCATCCACTTGTTCTGTGTCTCTGCACATATATAGGTCCCCATATGTACTAATGTTTTTGTGGCATTTAACATATTTGGCCGGTCGACTAAAAATAATTACAGCTGCTAGTCAAATATAAAAAAATATATATCTTGACTATGTATAAAAGATGTATATTATATGTATATTATATATTACTATATTAAAAATATAAATTTTCGGCTTTAATTTTGGAGGCGACGATACAGTGTAGATTTTCCATGTTTCATGTCTATCATGTCAGATTTATTATGAAGAGATATCTATTGTTATAAGTCTAACTTAACTTAATGGTGTAAAAATATATATACCGTCAATAACAACGACAACAATAACAACATACCCCGTGTATTCCCACAATGTGTGGTCTTGAGAGGATAATATATACGCAGACCTTACCCCTAGCTACAATAAACATAACTTAGAACTTTTATTTATTTTGTCTTTTGCTTGATTTGGGCTGGGCTAACATGATGTTTTGTAGGCCCTCAGAATGCATTAAGGAGCAAAAGGGCCCATTGGAAGCCCAAAATGATGTTACTGGGGATGGTAAATCCAGTGGCCAAATCCTTCGCTGCTTCTTTGATGATTGGCCTAGACAACTTCAAGAAGGTAACAATGCAAGAAGCAATGGTAGCTCTGTGTCTTCTGCTACCAACCTCTCCATTTCAATGCCCGGAAACCCCTCGTCCGACTTCTCGTTAAAGCTCTCAACCGGAGATAGACATAACTCTGGTGTTGGAGTCAGTAATGTTGAACGATCCCCGTGGGGAACGAACCAAGTGACATCGATGGGCGGACCACTAGCCGAGGCTTTAAGGTCATCGACGTCCAACTCGTCGCCAACGAGCGTTTTGCATCGGTTGCCGCGGGGCAGTGCATCGGAGGCTAGTTATGTTAGCACTTGAGTAAGCAAGTGCACTGTTGATTTTTCATGACAATGGTATTTTTGTACTCTTGTAAACTTCTTTTGGCTTGTTCTACTCTTCTGCATTGGGGCACCTAACAAAGCTGGTGCATGCAATGTGGAGTTTGTATTATTTTGGTTTCTGTAGGTGAAATCATGAATGCTTTGCTTTGCTTTGCTTATTTCTTTTACTTGAAGGGGAGTGTTGGAGCAACGGTAAATTTATCTCCATGTGACCTATAAGTCACGGGTTCGAGCCGTAAAAACAGCTACTAATGCTTTAATTAATGTAGGTTGTTCTACATTATCCCTTGGAGTGCAGCCCTTTTCCAAACCCTGCATGAATACGGGATGTCTTGTACATCGGACTGTCCTTTTTTGTGCACGTTGATTCCGTAATAGCTAAGTGTTACGATCATATTAGGAAGTTCTTGTATGTGCTTTATCCAGTAATTATACTATTCTCAATGACGATTAGGTGTTTCACTTGAGCTTGTCTCTTTCTTCCAAATTGCTGCAAGCAAAGTTAGTCTCATCAATTAAGCAATCATATCTTCCAAGTATTTCTTTTAAAGCAGACTAAAGTCCCCCGTATTAACCTCGAGTCCTATCCCTTGAACGACTTTGAGTAACGAGAAAATGACACGCTAAGTTTGATGGAAAGTTGCTTTGTCCAAAGACATCATTAAAAGAATGTGCAAAAGATCCAATCTTTTTCTGTGGTGACCTTAAAATTTATGCCTATTTGTATCTACAGTTCGCTAGCGAACGCGCCAGTTTATCATTAAGCGAGCAATGGCAAAAAAGCGAGGGAGTTGACTAACTTTGATAATCTTAGATGGTAAATTGGTAATGTGCAAAATCAACAAAATTTAGGCTCAAACCAACCACAGCAAATCTTTCAGTGGCTTAGACAAAATTTTTTTGTCAGACCAATCAATCGAATATTGATTAATACGTAATCGATCGAACACTACTTGAAAACGACTCTTCTACTCCGAAACGGATAATTCCAAATGTTCCTGAAAGTTCTTGCTCCCATTGGACCATTTGTATTTTTTGACACAATGTATGATGAATTCCCATGTACATACTTATTGGAGCTTTGGTGGGGCATTTAAGACTTGGGTTTTCTACTCAACAACAATCTGCCAGAATTTTAAAGTTTCCGATGTTGCGGAAGCCAAATGTATATAGTGTGAATAAGTCACAACTACTATACCAAAAATT